TCTGTCTGCGACATGACCATGTCTGTTTCTATGGGTAAGAAGTTGAGATTTTTTGCCCGTGTTATCTGGCCACTATTGATGGAATGACTTCCAGGCATTTAGGGCAATGGCTGTCATGCTTGAGGGGATTTTTTTGCCTAATATTTTCAGAAGGCATGATCTGTAGACATAGTTTACTTTTAACAAAGTTTTTGAAACAGTGCCCACCACATCCTGATAATCAAAATAGCAAAAAGTGGACTGGACAGAAAAACCATTAGGAGAATCCAAAATTGGCTACTAAATCAGACACACAGAGTAGGGTGCTGCAGGGTTAAGTCCTAGGTCCAGTGCTCCTCAACATATTTATTAATGATTTAAATGAAAAAGTTCAAGGAATGACAATGAAATCTGTGGACAACACAAAACTGTGTGGAATAGCCACCATGGAAGACAGGATGATCTTGATAAGCGTGAATGCTGAGCTGAAAGCAACAAAATGAGATTCAGTAGAAACAAATGCCAGGTCCTCCACCTAGGAAAAAGAAACCAAAGGCATCGATACAAGGTGGGGAATCCATGGCTCAACAGAACTGAAAAAGAAACAGGCCTTGGAGTTATTGTGGACAACAGGCTAAATATGAGTCAACAATGTGATACAGCTGCAAAAGGGTAAATGTTATTTTGGGATCCAGTAACAGAAGTATCACTTCCAAATAACGAGAAGTAAGGTTCCCTATACTCTTCACTAGTCACACCTCATCTAGAATACTGTGTCCAGTTCTGGGCACCAAGTTTAAAAAAAATGCAGAAAAGGTAGAAAAGGTCCAGAAGAGGGCAACAAAAATGATCTGAAAGAACCCAAATCCTAACCCTAACCCTACACCATTTAGGACTTTATATGTACATATGAGCACCTTCAATGGGCAACCGATGCAATTTATAGAGGACTGGTGTTACGTATTTGTTATTACTAGTCCCCATCACCAGCCTGGGTGCTCTATGTTATACCAGTGGAAGCTTCCAGACTGTTTTCAGGGGCAGCCCCACATAAATTTCATTACAGTAGTCCAATGGAAAGGATTTGATCCTAAAGCAGAAATAATGGTTCATACCATTTTTGAAATAATTTTCACAAAATTATAGGGCAGTATCAACTGTGTCATGATGTTGCACTAGCAGAAATTAGATTCTGGGTTATGTACAAGTAGAAAAACCAACTGAAGTTACATTTGTGCAAGTGCAGTTGCATAAGACAAACTGCTGTGTATTATGCCTGTACAATCCACTATGCAACTGACTGTGTACCCCAGTTGTGCAACTGATTGTGCAGGTATAACAGAGAACAGATTGTGATTCTGAAAAAACTGGCAGTTTTGATAGTATTGTTTGAATTTGCAGTCTGATATGATTGGATACTTGTCATAGTGTAGAACAGACTGGCTAACAGAATGATTCAAATTGCATTAAATAAATAAACATTTGTATGGCTATTGGGGTGTGTGAGTATTAGTGCTAGGGGACTGAAGAGCATGTGCAACAACTTCTAACTAAACAAAATTCACTGATCAATAATGGCTTGGATCCAGTATTTTTATTCTACTTACAGGAGTGTCTCTGAGAAAAGTTCTGCTCATGGCACTCTTGATTACAGAAAGAATGTGTCAAGCTTCTCTGACTTTTCCCTGCCTTAACACTCCCAGCACCATGCAGCACACAGTTCTGGAGGGACTGCAACCCTCTACAGCAGATGTCTGGGGACACAGAGAGAGGGGAATTGGCAATGATTACCCCATTCAGCTAAAGAAAAAGCCCTGCTTGATCCAAAGGCTCCTACTGATAGAAGAATCCTTCTATCCATGGCAGGTCCAACCCATAGTAAGGAATTCAGCACATAATCCAAAGCCACCTGGTATAATGTGGAGAACATATTCTGTTGTATCATTTCATATTGAAAACTAACAAAAGATGACAACAGGATAAAAACTGGCATGAATTTTTCCAATTGGTAGTCTTCTTGTGAAAATGATTATAGGCTACAGTTTATAATTCAATTATGATTGGGATATTCTTTGCTATGAATAGTGGAAAAGCTAACCTTACCAGTAGAGAAAATGTAGACATTCTTAATAGTATTAACTTACAATGGTTAAGGGTTTTCTGTTTGCTTTTGTTTTAGCGTATGAGTAAAACAACCGATGGAGAAAGTAAATCTTTTATCCCCCCTCCCCCCCAGCCAAATTACAGTGTTGGGTTGCAGGCTCAGAATTATCAGCATGTAGGAAACAAGGCAGGATATAAATACATGGGAGAATTACTGCAACTCATAAGCTAAATAAAAGTTCCTAAATGTATGTGAGACTGCATTGCTTGAATTTTGCCTCTCACTGCAGGCCCTGCAAAATATCCAGTGGTCCTCAGGTGGTACATTTTGGGGATACATGGGGCCGTAGTAGGATGTGGGGGCAGGAAAGCTGCTTGCAAAATTTTGGAAGCAATCTATATCCAACAAAAACAAAAGATAGCAATGGACAGAAGAAAACAGTGTGGCTCCACAAAAAACTCCGAGTTGACCTAAAAGCAAAGAAGGCCACGTAAAGGAAGTGGAAAACCAGGAAACAAAAGAAGAGTATGGGCAGGTGAGAATGAACTGAGTCTAGCTTTTTTCAAGCATGTTCACAGTAAAAGGCAGAGAAAAGAAATTAAGGTTCAAGTTCTCACTGAGAATGGTAAATTGATCACATATGACAGAAAAAAGGCTGAAGTGCTTAGCTCCTACTTTGGCTCAGTCTTTTCCCAAAAGCAGGTCTATGACCCCTCTGACAAAAATAGAATACAAACAGTCAGGACTGAAGTCTAAATTAATTTTAAAAAATGGTCAATGAACACCTAATTTGTTCGAATGAGTTCAAATCTCCAGGGCCCAGTATAATAAAGGAACTGGCAGAATAACTCTCATAACCACTATCTATTATCTTTGAGAAATAATGGAGCATGGGGAAGGTGCCAGATGACTGCAGGAATGCAAATGCTGTTCCTGTCTTCAAAAATGGCAAAAATTAGGATCCTGGAAACTACAGGCCAGTGAGTCTGACAGCAATCCCTGGGAAAGTTCTGGTACAGGTAATAAAGAAGTCAGTCTGTAAGTGCCTTGAAGACAATGGAATAATTACTAGAAGCCAGCACTGATTTATAAAGAATAAGTCTTGCCAGACAAATCTGATCTCATTTCTCAATCAGGCAACCTCCCTCGTGGACTGTGGGAATGCTGTGGACATAATATAGCTTGATTGCATCAATGCTTTTGACAGAGTGTCCCATGACATTCTGATCAGGAAACAATCTAAAAGTGGACCAGTTGGAACAGTTATCAGATGGATCCATGGTTGGCTACAAAGTCACTCAGAGAATGCTTCTCAATACCACCTTCACAGAAGTGAAAGAGTTTATGAGTGAGATACCAGAAGGCTGAGTTCTGGGCTCAGTGCTCTTCAAGATTCTTATTAATAAATTGGATGAAGAGGAGCAAGGAATGCCTATCAAATATGCAGATGACACAAAAGTGGGACAAATTCCAAGTTCTACAAGAGGAAAAGGGAACCAAAAGCAAGATGGGAAATACTTGGCTCAACAATACTACAAACAAGGAGGATCTTGGAACTGTTGTGGATCAGAAGCTGAATATGAATCAACAATGTGATGTGGCTGCAAAGAAAGCTATATTGGGCTGCATTAATAGAAGTATAACTTCCAAATCATGTGAGGTGATGGTCCCTTCCATTCAACACTAGTCATATCTTGAATATTGTTATCTAGTTCTGGGCACCACACTTCAAGAAAGATTCAAACAAACTGGAAAAAAACCTAGGAAGGGCAACTAAGCTTAGAAACAAAGTCCTGTGAGGAGCGATTGAAAGATTGAAAGAAAGACTGAAAGCTACATGTTTAGCCTTGAGAAGAAGAGACTGAGGCAGAGATATGACAGCACTTTTTAAATACTTGAAAATCAGTCATACAGAGGAAAGCCTTTTTTCAATCATCCTAGAGTGCAGGACACAGAATAACGGGCTCAAGTTACAGGAAGCCAGATTCTAGCTGAAGATCAGGAAGAGTTTCATGACTGGGAAACCAATACAATTACAGTTACCTAAGGAGGTCATGGGCTCTTCCACACTTAAAGGCCTTCAAGAGGAATTCAACAGCCATCTGACAGGAATGCTTTAACTTGGAGTCCTGTATTAAGCAGAGGGTGGACTCAATGGCCTTACAGGCCACTTTCAACTCTAGTATTCTATGATTCTGTGATTCTATTTAAGAATTTTTCAATTAATTTTTTAAACAATGCATCCTTATTTCATGATTTTATCTTGAGCCCTATATAATCCCTCTTTCGTGGCTAACAGTCTAGTGCTACGTGTAGGTTCTTTGGGGTGAAGTGATTTATATCAGAGAAACAGTGCAGGAGGAAAATATTGAACTCTCCTAGCACTGTGGCCCTAATTGTTTAACTACCTCAACTGTTTTCAAGCAAGATTTGACCACTAGAAAATTTGACCACAGATCTGTCACATCTTGTTTGGCCTAATTTTGTATGGTTTTGCAGTCTAAAGACCAAGCTACATTTTACATTAATTGCATAGCATGTAACTGAGCATACAGTGGTGCCTTGGCTCATGAACGCCTTGGTTCACAACCAAATTGGGTCACGAATAAAAATTTCATGAAAATTTTGACTTTCATGTGGGTCGTGAATTCCACATTGGGTGGCAACCAAGATCGCGGTCATCTCCCCCCCACCCCCAAGTGGGGAGATGGCCATGATCGCAGTTGTGTTCATGCAGGGAAGACGGGTGCAATCTTGGCCATCTCTCCCCCCGCAACCAGCACGATCGCAGCCATCTCCCCACCCCACCCCCAGAGTGGGGAGATGGCCATGGTCGCAGTTGCGTTCCTGCAGGGAAGACATAGAGGAGCTGACAACAGAAGAACTTGCTGAACTCCAGAGTGAGCAGCAGAAGGGACTTGCTGAGGAGGATTCCACTGAGGAAGAGGAAGACAGGGAGGAGGTTAGCAGTGATGTGATACAATCCATTATGTAAAAATGGAATGAGTGCCAGGATTTCTTTGAGAAGCACCACCCTAACATAACTGTAACAAACAGAATGTTGAATCTGATGTACAATAATGTGGTCTCTCATTTCCGGAGGGTTATGCAGTGCAGGAAAAAACAAGCGGCTATAGACAGATTTTTCACCAAAATTGACCCTGCAGCTAAGAGAGAAAGAAGAGAGGAAACCCCTGAAAGAGATCTCCCCAATGTCCTTATGAAGGGGGACTCTCCCTCAAAACAATAACCTCATCGCCACCTAGGTTAGTGTTCTCCACTGTACTGAACAGTACTTTGTTACTTTGTTGTTCTTTGTCACTTTGTTTCAAATTTTTCTGATTAAAAAAAATAGTTACAGAATGGATTGACCTTATTTACATTGAACCTTATGGGGAAATTTGAGTTGGGTCACAACCAATTTGGGTCACAACCAGAGTCATGGAACAAATTAAGTTCATGAGCCAAGGTACCACTGCATTTTGCTTTT